TTTTTTTTTCATTTATTTTTATTAGTTGGAGGCTAATTACTTTACAATATTGTAGTGGTTTTTGTCATACATTGACATGAATCAGCCATGGATTTACAAGTATTCCCCATCCTGACCCCCCCTCCCACCTCCCTCTCCACCCGATTCCTCTGGGTCTTCCCAGTGCACCAGTTTTGTAGATAAGTTCATTTGTTGCCTTTTGTTAGAATTCATGTATAAGCAATATCATATTCTATGTTTCTCTGTCTGACATAGTTCACTTAGTATGAAAAATCTCTAGGTCTATCCATGTTGCTGCAAATAGCGTTATTTTGCCCTTTGTTATGGCTGGGTAATAATCCATTGTATATATGATACCACACATCTTCCTTACCCATTGCTCTGTTGATGGATATTTAGGTTGCTTCCATGTCCTGGCTCAGAGAAGGCAGTGGCAACCCACTCCAGCACTCTTGCCTGGAAAATCCCATGGAGGCAGGAGCCTGGTAGGCTGCATTCCGTGGAATCGCAAAGAGTAGGACACGACTGAGCGACTTTACTTTCACTTTTCACTCTCATGCGTTGGAGAAGGAATGGCAACCCACTCCAGTGTTCTTGCCTGGAGAATCCCAGGGACTGTGGAGCCTGGTGGGCTGCCATCTATGGGGTCGCACAGAGTCGGACACGACTGAAGCGACTTAGCCGCAGCAGCAGCATGTCCTGGGTATTGTGAATAGAGCTGCAGTGAGCATTAGGGTGCATGTAGGAATTACGGTTTTCTCTGGATAAATGCCCAGGAATGGGATTGCTGGATCACATCATAGCTCTGGTTTTAGTTTTTAAAGGAACTTCCATATCGTTCTCCATAGTGATTGTACCAGTTTACGTTCCCAGCAACAGTGTAGGAGAGAATTCCCTCTCCTTCACTTTCTCTCAAGCATCTATTGTTTGTAGACTGGTTGATGATGGTCATACTGACCAGTGTGAGGTGAGAGATGTTGACCATCTTTTCATGTGCTTTTTGGCCATCTGTATGTCTTCGTTGGAGAGTGTCTGTTTTAGTCTTCTGACCAATTTTTGATTGAGATTTTTTTATATTGAATTGCATGAACTGTTTGTGTATTTCAGAGAGTAATCCCTTGTCAGTCACTTTGTTTGCAAATATTTTTCCCCATTCTGCAGGTTGTCTTTTCAGTATTGTTTATGGTGTTCTTTGCTGTACAAAATCTTTTAAGCTTAATTAAGTCCCATTAGTTTATCTTTTATTTTCATTACTCTAGGAGGTTGATCAAAAAAGATCTTGCTGCAATTTATGTCAAAGAGAATCCTCCCTATGTTTTCATCTAAGAGTTATATATTGTCTGGTGTTACATATATGTCTATAATCCATTTTGAGTTTCTTTTTGTGTATGGTGTTAGGAAGTGTTCTAATTTTATTCTTTTACCCATAGCTGTCCTATCTTCCCAGCACCACTTATTGAAGAGTCTGTCTTTTCTCCACTATATATTCTTGCCTCCTTTGTCATAGGTGACACAAGTGCGTGGGTTTATCTCTGGACTTTCTATCCTGTTCTATTGATCTGTATTTCTGGTTTTGGTGCCAGTAGCATATTGTTTCAATTACTGTAGCTTTGTAGTATAGTCTGAAGACAAGGAGCCTGATTCTACCCAGCTTCAATTTTCTACTTTGTTTTTCTCAAGATTGCGTTGGCTTTTCATGGTATTTTGTGTTTCCATACAAAATATAAATGTTTCTTTCTAATTCTGTGAAAAACACCACTGGTAATTTGATAGGGATTGCACTGAATCTGTAGATTACTTTGGGTGGTTTGTTTGTTTGTTTATTTACTTACTGGTATTTGTTGAGATATTTGTTGAGAATATCTTTTTATCTTTTTGTCTTTCTTTAAATTGCTTGAGGTCCATGCAGCTGTAGTAAGCTGACCTTATGAACATTCCACGTGGTGTCCTATACGTGGATGGAGAGAACCAAATTTACTATTAAGCTTTTTGTACAGCTTAGGGTTTACGTTTAACTTTAGGGCTACTTGGATCTCTTGGTTGTAGGTGTCTGGTGTACTGGGGAGAGAAAGATTCTCTGTAGCAAAGAACAGTGTCCTCACTGCTGTGTGGGTACCAGATGAGCAGCTGTTGGAGTCCACAGCATGAATTCACCATCCCTAACTATTCCATGGTAATAACCCTGAATCACAGTCTTTGTAATGGAACAACGAGAGTCATACTTCAGATTTAAAAGCACTGGCTGTTAGAACCCATTGCCTTGTTTTTGTGGTTGCAGCTGCAACTACATTGGCTGTAGAAAGTGAAATTATATAATGAAAATTGGAGCCATAAGAACAAAAATCTGAATAATGACATATGAAAGTGAAAGTCACTCAGTTATGTCTGACTCTTTGCAACCCCATGGACTGTTACCTGCCAGGCTTATCTGTCCATGGAGTTCTCCAGGCAAGAATACTGGATTGGGTTGCCATTTGCTTCTCCAGGGGATCTTACTGACCCAGGGTCTCCTGCATTGCAGGCAGATTCTTTACCAGCTGAGCCACCAGGAATGACCTTGAATAATGACATGACCCTCACCTGTATAATACTGTAAAGTGTATCTCAATCCAGTTGGAATTAATAGGATAAATGACAGAAATCATAAGGACCTACGAGAAGCAGAAGAGACTAGGAAGAACTGGCAATAATACACAGAAGAACTGTACAGAAAAGATCTTAATGATCTGGGTAATGATGGTGTGGTTACTCACCTAGAGCCAGACTTCCTGGAGTGTGAAGTCAAGTGGGCCTTTGGAAGCGTTACTATGAACAAAGCTAGTGGATGTGATGGAATTCCAGTTGAGCTATTTCAAATCCTGAAAGATGATGCTGTGAAAGTGCTGCACTCAATATGCCAGCAAATTTGGAAAACTCAGCAGTGGCCACAGGACTGGAAAAGGTCAGTTTTC